AGGGGGGGGGGGGGGGAGTTTTATGTGCTTGGGTGTAACTTTTTTTTTTTTTTTTTTATACTAAAAAAAGTTTTACTTTTTTTTCATCACATAGGGGACAAGTTACAGTGTCAATGGGTACCCGGGGTCACTGTCAATGGGGACCTGGGAGTGACGTCACACACGCCACTTCCAGGTCAAGAACAAGAAGGGGAGAAGAGCGGACGTTTGTGTGTACTTTCTTGACATGTGTGGAAGCAATTGAGCAGCAGTGCAGCCGCCTGAATACTTCCACCTGACAAGCCCTGCTGCTTGTAAACAAAAACTACCTGTCCGGAACTACATGTGTGGCTATACAAATTGCTCATCACTGCAATCAAATTTCAATAAAACAAATATATACTGAATAAATGCAAAGTTGTGTTTATGTGACTATTTATGGTAAGGGGGCCCAAAGCTTTCATCTAGGTTCACACCTATGCGTTTTCCATTGCATTTTGCAGAAACGCACAGCAGTCCATTTAACAAGATTTCCTATAGGACACGTTCACATCTCTGCGTTTTCACCAGTGCATTTTTTGGACTTTTTTCAAAAGCAAAATGTTTCATTTTTGGTTCAATAGACTTCAATGGAGATACTGCAAAAATGCATGTAGTGCGTTTTTATGCATTTTGCGTTTTAACCTGCCCAGCAACAAGTTGGGGGGAGCGGGGAAACGTGTCAAAACCACATGTGCAAAAATGCAAAATACACCTCAAAAAGCACTGCAGAAATGGATCAAATGCAAACTGTATAGGTGTGAACCTAGCCTTAATCAGATTCTTAAAGGGGTCTGTGATTCAGAAAATGTTAGAGAAGTATAAGCAAAGCTCTTTTGGCTGTACTTCTGCTATGGATAATAAAGGATCAACAAGACAGAGGGAAAGGGTTCTGTGTCCTGTACTGTACTCCAAGAGATGGATTTAACAGGCAAAATACGTTTTATTTATTTTTTTGTCATTTGCTTGATAAGTGTCCCTTATACAGCAAAGCTACCAGCCCTAGCAACATCATTTTGACATTTTCTTGCTTCTATCACTAGCTGCAGTGATCAGAACAATATGACAAATGTCAGAGAAATAAGAAATTTTTTTTTATAGTACCTCAATCCCTTTTTGGCTGTATTTACATAAGAGGCCTTTTATGTTTAAATTGAACCTTATTTTTGTAAGTAAAAGGGCTCCACCAGAGCTGTGAAAGTATCCCAAAATACCCCTAAGTTAGGGTATGGGAGGCTGGTTATGCTATTAGTACTGTGGCATTTTTCGCCAGGCACACTTGCCTATGCAAGTACCTTCTTTCAGAATGTCGATGCTTTCAAAAGCACTTCTATGGGCTTCTCTTTTGGTGCTGGTGGAAGGCTATTTTCTTTTTTGGTAATAAGGGTTAGGTGTATGACCTGTCATTTGATGCCGGGTTACCTGAATTTGTTGTATATTTTATTTACTATATTTAGTATTAAAAGTTTTTTTTTTCTATGTATTTTCCCTCAGGTAAATGTGGAAAGAATGTTTTATATAAATAACTTGTAGCCAGCAGGTGGCAGAGTTCCAAAGATAAAAAGCCTACTATTAAAAAAAACAAAACAAAAGCAGAAGCGAGTAGATATTACACCATACACATACGTTGTACATCTTAATAGGTAATAGCAAGAACACAACTCCACTCCATCTTGGGACCATCTTATTTAGTCAATTTGCACAGGTTTCTGCATGTAGGCAGTGTCAGGTTTTCCTGTTTAAAAACCCAGTATAATTTGAAAGCTGAATGTCATTGGTGGACACCATATTAAATGTTCATCTATATCATTTAGAAAACTTGTATATTTTAAATGATACAATTTGCTAGTAAGTAATAGCTTTATGTACTTGGCATGACTTAGAAGCTCCCAGGTGATTGCTCTCTAGATTTCCCCACCTATTAAAACCCTTTCTTAGTTCTACAATACAAGACACAGGATCTTTAGTCATTACCAGGGGTTATAGGCAGCCACCTTCAGTTGACTGGTGGAAGTGGCTGTTTTCTTTCTCAGATCAATTGATTCCTCAACTGTCCCTTGAGGGACTGTACGCAGACTCTACTGAATGGAAGAGGTGGGTCCAGCCTGTACTGTTATGTGCACTGAATACTGCTATCTTCTGCATGTAGTACAGTGTATGTAGTGCAGGGTGCCATAAAGTCTTTGGGCTGCCAGTGGCAGAGTAATGTCCCTGCAGACCCGTGTTGGGGGGTATGCCCATCATGGAGGATGAAACGAGGATGGAGTATGACCTTCGTCTATTCCTGCCTGCATGACGGCTTCACCATTGAGCAGGGTGGAACATTCAAGCTCAGGTTACCACAGCCTCACACACCCATTGATGTTTGAGGTACTATCAGCGGCTACTCATCAGATGTAAATCAGTTGGTTCCATTTTGCAGAATGTACCTGCCCTACCAAACCTGAGTGAAGTCCCTCTACAGTGCCCTTGTGTGCCTGTGCAGCCTTGAGGATTTCGCTCTCAGCACCTGCGCCACCTCTTTGGCAAATGGGTTACTGAGATGGCATGCTCTGAAATTTCCCATTGCTGGGCTCGTCTTCTGGCCAGAAACCGCATCCCAGCCTTCTCTCCTTTGACTCGCATGACACTTGGAATTGCAGCAGTTTACAGTGCAAGCCCAAGGGAAATGGTCATTCTCCTGGCCCATCAGACACATAAATGAGGAGAAAGTAGTGGTTGATGACATTCCCAATTCCCTACTCTACTTCTGAGGACTTGAGTTAGGATGAGATGTCTGTTGTGGAGATTTCATCTAAACTTAATACCATTGCTACAATATACTGTAGCTTAGCATTAGAGCAGCCTAAGTCTGCTCACCCCTAGGTCTCCTTAAATTCCTGAAACCAGCTAAGACTTTCCAATTACAAATGCTGGTGGAGCCTGTCCTGTGTAGGTCTTTACTTCTCCAAAATGCTTTGCACAGCAATTATCATTTGAGGAAACGTTCCTGTGAAAGTGGGTGGTTCCTTTGGTAGATACTGCCATTTCTTGTCTTAAGGTGATCTAAACTGCCTCAGTTGGGGTTAATCCAATGTTCATAATTCCAGAAGATAAATCCCTCTTTAGAGCTCTCTTTAACGTAGCAAACCCCACCATGTAGCCTCCGATTGCTTCTTTGGCCGTCTGTCAAATGATTGCTGTCTGGCTTAAAGTAGTTTTAAAGGCAGAAACTTTTTTACCTTAATGCATTCTCTGCACTAAGGAGAAAAAAAAAAAAAACTTCTGCATGGAGAAACAATCCCCAACCCCTTCCCTTATACTTACCTGAGCCCAATCTCAATCCAACGATGTGCACGACAGCACAGGCCTTCTCATCTCTCTCGTTCCTCATTGGCTCTGATTCAGCAGTGGGAGGCATTGGCACGCAGGAGTGCCTCCATAGCAAGCTGCTTGTTATGGGGGCACTCAGCGGGGGGGAAGAGCACTGATGAGGGACCAGAGAAGAGGACCGGGGGCTGCTCTGTACAAAAACCATTGCATAGAGCGGGTACGTATGACATGTTTGTTATTTTAAGAAAAAAGAAATCAAGCTTTTACACTCACTCTAAGCACTTGGCCCAAGATCTTATTTCTGTCCTAAAAGATATTTCAGTCCACAGCCAATGTGCGCTCTTAACAGTGGCCTTACACTACTGTGTAAATGGCTTGGTGGACAGGCTTTGCCAGATCTCTAGAATGGGTTTTCTCTCCATTCATATGTGCAGGATTTGTTTGCGTAAATGCTAGTCAGCTAAGCTTCCTTGCAATAAACATGGTTAAATGGTTATGTTCGACACAGCCCTGTCAAAGATCATCCTGCCCCAGGACAAACCTCCTGATCTTCTACTCTCATGTGTGGGCCCTTCGGGCCTAGGGAAAACCCTCACTTTGTATCTGCATTAAGGGTCTTTGGCCTAATGTTGTCCTCCAAAGCATTTCCATTTGTGAAGTTTCAATGCAGATTACATCACAGCAGAAAGAAAAAAGAAAATGGAGATGTGGGAGAGCATGAGAGCAATAGAAGGTACTTTTCAGAGGGTTCACCACAAGGTGCAAACCATTCATAAGCCTGAAGAATACAAAAGCCAGATTAGACTTTGCCAAAAACATCTAAAAAAGCCAGACCAGTTCTGGAAAAGCTTTCTTTGGACAGAGTGTGGAGAAGGCTTGGAACAGCTCATGATCCAAAGCACACAACGTCATCTGTAAAACATGGTGGTGGAGGCAGTGTGATGGCATGTGCATGCATGGCTTCCAGTGGCACTGGGTCATTGGTGTTTATTGATGATGTGACAGAAGACAGAAGCAGCTGGATGAATTCTGCAGTGTTTAGAGATACTGTCAGCCCACATAAATGTAATGTGGTGCGATGTGCACTGCTTTACATTCAGTGTAGTATAGAGGAGACATGCAGGGTCTTTTAGACCTTGGATGTCGCAGTAAAAAGAACCTGTCGCCTAAAATCACATATAAGGGGCTTTAAAAGCATCACCTATAGAAAATTTAGGGTACTGAAATTTGTCGCCATTTCACAAGCGCACGCAAATTTATGGTTTGGCATGTTGGATATCGATTTACTCGACGCAACCTCATCTTTTATATTTTTCAGAAAAGTAGGGTCATTTATTGCTTTTTTTTTGTGCTCTGAAATGAACTTACTTGTATTTTTACTGAAATTATGCAGTAATATCATGCAACATAAAAAAATTTAACTACCACTTTTATTCTCTAGGGCAGGGGTCCTCAAACTTTTTAAACAGGGGGCAAGTTCACTATCCCTCAGACCTTTTGAGGGCTGGACTATAGTTTAAAAAAAAAAAACACAACTGTGAACAAATGCGGACACAGTACAGGAGATGACCAGAGACTGCGGACATACAACGGTGGCGGGAACACTAGGCCGGCCGCTCCATAAGACGCACAGACATTTCCCCCCAAGTGTGTCTTATGGAGCAAAATAGTGCCCCATCATTGTTGTCAGTGGGAAGAAACGTGCCCCATCATTGGTGTCAGTGGGAGGAATCGTGCCCCATCGTTGGTGTCAGTGGGAAGAATCGTGCCCCATCGTTGGTGTCAGTGGGAGGAATAGTGCCCCATCGTTGGTGTCAGTGGGAGGAATAGTGCCCCACCGTTGGTGTCATTGGGGGAAGGAATAGTGCCCCATCATTAGTGTCAGTGTGTGTGTGGGGGGGGGGGGGGGATGGTGCTCCGTCATTGGTGTCAGCGGGGGAAGGGGATAGTGTCCCAGCATTGGTGTCAGTGGGAGGAATAGTGTCCCATCGTTGGTGTCAGTGGGAAGAATAGTGTCCCATCGTTGGTGTCAGTGGGAAGAATAGTGTCCCATCGTTGGTGTCGGTGGGAAGAATAGTGCCCCATCGTTGGTGTCAGTGGGAAGAATAGTGCCCCATCGTTAGTGTCAGTGGGAAGAATAGTGCCCCATCGTTGGTGTCATTGGGGGGAGGAATAGTGCCCCATCGTTGGTGTCAGTGGGGGGAGGAATAGTGCCCCATCATTGGTGTCAGTGGGGGGGGGGGAAGGAATAGTGCCCCATCATTAGTGTCAGTGTGTGTGTGTGGGGGGGGAGGGGGGGATGGTGCTCCGTCGTTGGTGTCAGCGGGGGAAGGGGATAGTGTCCCAACATTGGTGTCAGTGGGAAGAATAGTGCCCCATCGTTGGTGTCAGTGGGAAGAATAGTGCCCCATCGTTGGTGTCAGTGGGAAGAATAGTGCCCCATCGTTGGTGTCAGTGGGGGAAGAATAGTGCCCATCATTGGTGTCAGTGGGAGGGTAGTGCCCCGTCATTGGTGTCAGTGGGAAGAATAGTGCCCCATCGTTGGTGTCAGTGGGAAGAATAGTGCCCCATCGTTGGTGTCAGTGGGAAGAATAATGCCCCATCGTTGGTGTCAGTGGGAGGAATAGTACGACATTGGTATCAGTTGGGGGGGAATAGAGCCCTGTCATTGGTGTCAGTGGGGGGAGGAATAGTAGTGCCCCGTCATTGGTGTCAGTGGGAGGAATAGTGCCCCATGAATGGTGTCAGTGGGAAGAATCGTGCCCCATCGTTGGTGTCAGTGGGGAGGAATCGTGCCCCATCGTTGGTGTCAGTGGGAGGAATAGTGCCCCATCGTTGGTGTCAGTGGGAGGAATAGTGCCCCATCGTTGGTGTCAGTGGGAGGAATAGTGCCCCATCGTTGGTGTCAGTGGGAGGAATAGTGCCCCATCGTTGGTGTCAGTGGGAGGAATAGTGCCCCATCGTTGGTGTCAGTGGGGGGAGTAATAGTGCCCCATCGTTGGTGTCAGTGGGGAAGGGCATAGTGTCCCAACATTGGTGTCAGTGGGAGGAATAGTGTCCCATCGTTGGTGTCAGTGGAAGAATAGTGCCCCATCGTTGGTGTCAGTGGGAAGAATAGTGCCCCATCGTTGGTGTCAGTGGGAGGAATAGTGCCCCATCGTTGGTGTCAGTGGGAGGAATAGTGCCCCATCGTTGGTGTCAGTGGGGGGGAGGAATAGTGCCCCATCGTTGGTGTCAGTGGGGGAAGGGGATAGTGTCCCAACATTGGTGTCAGTGGGAGGAATAGTGTCCCATCATTGGTGTCAGTGGGAAGTATAGTGTCCCATCATTGGTATCAGTGGGAAGTATAGTGTCCCATCATTGGTGTCAGTGGGAAGTATAGTGTCCCATCATTGGTGTCAGTGGGAAGTATAGTGTCCCATCATTGGTGTCAGTGGGAAGTATAGTGTCCCATCATTGGTGTCAGTGGGAAAAATAGTGTCCCATCTTTGGTGTCAGAGGGAGGAATAGTATGTCATAGGTCTCAGTGGGGGGGAATAGTGCCATCATTGGTGTCAGTGGGGGGAAATAGTGCCCCATCATTGGTGTCAGTGGGGGGGAATAGTGCCCCATCATTGGTGTCAGTGGGGGGGAATAGTGCCCCATCATTGGTGTCAGTGGGAGGAATAGTACGTCATTGGTATCAGTGGGAGGAATAGTGCCATCATTGGTGTCAGTGGGGGGGAATAGTGCCATCATTGGTGTCAGTGGGGGGGAATAGTGCCCCATCATTGGTGTCAGTGGGAAGAATAGTGCCCCATCTTTGGGGTCAGTGGGAGGAATAGTACGTCATTGGTATCAGTGGGAGGAATAGTGCCCCGTCATTGGTGTCAGTAGGGGGGATAGTGTCCCAACATTGGGGTCAGTGGGAGGAATAGTGCCTCATCGTTGGTGTCAGTGGGGGGGGAGGAATAGTGCCCCACAGGGGCGGACTGACAATTTGGAAACTCAGGCACTGCCCGAGGGCCCGGGGTCAGCAGGGGGCCCCATGAGATGCCCCTGGTACCTTTTTCATAGGCTTTTTTGAGTTTGGGTAAGGACACAGGGGCCCCATGATCCCCTATTGCCCGGGGGCCCCATCATTGGTGTCAGTGGGAGGAATAATGCCCCATCATTAGTATCAGTGACACCAATGATGGGGCACTATTCCTTTCTCAGGTGACATGCCGCCTGTGTGACTTTCCTGAGCTACAGTTCTGGCGCCCAATCACCGGTGAGAAGGCGGAGCCGAGCGGCAGGAGTGAGGGAGTGGCCGGAGTGAATGAAGGAGCAGCGCTTCCTGGACTGGATCATCGTGGGACTGGGACCGGAGTCAGGTAAGGTACAGCAGCCCCTGCCCACCCCTGTACTTAGTGTCCCTTCCTGTCCCGCCCCTGCCGGCGGGCTGGATAAATGGCCTCGGCGGGCTGCTTGTGGCCCGCGGGCCGTAGTTTGAGGACCCCTGCTCTCTAGGGTCTCTGATTTCAGAAAATTATATAATGTTTGGGAGTTTTATTTAATCTTCAGGCCTAAAATAATTTTTTTAATCTTGTACAAAAAAAACACAAACAGCTCTGGCAGCGAAAGGGATAATCCTGACGTTCCCCTCTCCTGAGGAGGAGCCAATTTGTGTTCATTACACTGTAAGGTCTCTCTCTTCCCTGCTAGTCCCCGGATATGGTGCTGGAGACAGGCGTGTGGGGGAGAGGGGAGGAGGAGATAAACAGCGCAATTATAAAAATGTTACTCATTTAAGTCGCCATAAATCCCCTTTTGTTTTTTAAAACAGTCCTGATAGTTTTTTTAAAAAATGTCCACACCCCTGGGGAACAACAGGGAAATCGCATAGTGCAAAAGCACCTTTCAATTTCCCTGTGGCTGCATTTTTTCAGGCACATATACATTTGTTTGCATGCAAAGCAGGCACAGCAGCCCATTCAAATGAATGGGCTGCTGTGCCTGCACAAATGTAGGCCTCAAACCTGCTCAAGTGTGAAGAGGGAGGTTCAGGTAAGTATGACGTTTTATTTTTAAAAAGAAAACCTTTAGAATCACTTGAAGGAATATTACCTCAATGGGATACAAATGGCAAAACAAAACTAATTTGTTTTAACATTTTGTCTGCTGTATCCAAACCTACAAAAAAGGGGAGATTTAAATGAAATACAATTCTAATACAGCTAATTCTTTCAATATGGGAGAGCTGGTAACATTACCGATTTAAAGTGGTTCTAAAGTCAAACAGTGGACATTTCCCCTGTAACTGTCTGCCTCCACCCCTGCATATCTGACTTGCTAAGGGGAACTTGGAGGAAGAAGGAGCGGACAGCCCTGTTGGGGGACCGTCAGAGAGGTGGTAAGGGACCACTCTGTGCAATATTGCTGGTATGCATAACCTCTTTTTTTTATTTTAATTTAAAAAAATCGCATTTAACGTCACTTAAAGTACTGGTTTTGACAAGCATTCATGATCTTTAAGCATGAAAAAAGTAGAAACTGAGACTACTAATCATGATTGGTTACCAATTTAAAACTTGCATTAATGAATGTTTAAAGCTTTGGTCTGTGTCTGTGCAAATTTGTTAAGATGCAGCTGACAGCCTCTCACTTATTGGGCAAGCAAGGGAGCTACTTTGATCTCAGACAGTATATATTTGTGAGGTCTGAAACCCAATCGTGGTTCATATGGTCCAATTGCTTACAGGGGTATGATCCGACTGTTTTCAATCAAAGCCCCTGGAGCAGAAGAAATACTTTAGTAAATCTTTTGGTAATGTTATCCCTTTTATTTTCTACAACTGTTTTTCTTGTATGTTTGCTGGTTTATACCTATTTTTGTATATATGCACTGCTCCACTTTATGAATAATACATTTAAATCTGGTTAGCTGATTTATGATTGCTCTAAAGCAGTGACCTCCAAACTGTAGCCAGTGGGCTGGATGCAGCCCTTTGCTTGCCCTTTACCCAGCCCTTGGGGAACTATTCCTCTTACTGATACGAGGCACCTATTCATCCCACTGACACCAACAATGAGGCACCATTCCTTACAATGACACCAACAGTGGGGCCAAATTCCTCCCACTGACTCTAACAGTAGTGCACTATTCCTCCCAATAATACAAATGATGGGGTGCTATTCCTCCCATTATAATACCAATAATGGGACACTAGTCCCCCATACTGGTTCTATCTAATTTGTTTCTTTTACATTCATTGAAGGACTCCACTTCTGTTCATTCTTGACCGTGGGGTTTATAGCACCACCTACAGGAGTAGCACACAAAAAGAATACAGCACTGCCTATGGGCAGTCCCAACTGGTATAAACTTCCTCCCTGTTATAGGCAAGCCAGTTATTTCTGCCTAATGTTTCGGGAGTACAGACCTAGTTCCCTGCTGGGACCTGTGGTTCCATAGCTTTAGTTTTCCTTTTTTGTCTTTTTTTTTCTTGGGATTTTTTTTTCCTTAGAAGATGTTCAATCTACAGCCAGGCTGGGTGACGGGCTGAATAATATAGATCCGGTGATCTCCTAAGTCTGTCATGGGATCCTTACCTGCACATCCCACTAGACTGGTAAGTAGATGCCTCTCCTCACCTTTGTGTGTGGGTACTGTTTGGGGTAGTCGGTCCTGTGGTGTCCAATCCTCCTCCATAAGCCTGGGTCCCTTTGCCAGTCCCTCCCTTCTATTTCCTGAAGTGAATTGTGCAGAATTGGGTACCCAGTCACCTAGTCCTCCCATGCTTAAGCTGTGTTGCAGGGTGTAGTTGTGGGGACAATGTGCTGTGTGTGCCCATGCAGCCCATCTTGGCTGTATCCCCAGTGGCCGCAGGGCCTCATCAGACAGGGTCTGCCGGGGCTGAGGTCGCACTGCTGCTTGTGTAATCTTTTACTCTCCCCCCACCCCATCCTTCTACCACCAACCAGATTTTTCCCCAGCAACACACTTATTTTTTCCTTTAGGCTTCAGGTACGATACTACTGTCTACTTGTGCTTTCTTAGGATGTTCCATTTCCCACCTGTTCTATAGGCTGAGGAGGTTGCAGGCTTCCCTTTAATGGACAGAGACACTGGCAATGGCTCTCCTGCGAGTGCATGGTCAGGCTGCCCAGCAGTTGAGGCCTACTGGATTGGGCACAGCATCCTCCATCTTGGTTTTGGGTTGTTGCCTTTCCACACTGTCATTCTGCCTCTAAGCCTGGCATTGCTTTGGGGGGTTAACCCTGGTGGCGGGCTGTTTTGGCAGCCATTTTAGCTGGGTTTCTGCCCTTATTTTATCTGGCTTCTGATGTCACTCCATCCCTGAGCCTGGCATGATGCTTGTGACAGGCGGTGCTCTAGGGGTGGATCCTGTGTCGTGCTGTGAAGGAAGCCATTTTAGTACTCTGTACCTAGAGCATGCAGATGTAATAAAATTGAAAAAAAAAACACCTGCGGTGAGATCCATGGCTGAGGAGTTGTAGGTGATGTTGACCCTGCATATACCTGGCTTGTGGCCAGATTAGTGGCTGCAGTAGTTCCAGGGGCCTGTGGCTACTGGAGACAGCACAGAAGGTTGACTGGGACTTCTTCCAGTACCGGTGGCCACGAGTGCGCCGATAGGGTCGCACTCCACCTTGCAACTACCGTATTTTCCAGCGTATAAGACGACTGGGCGTATAAGACGACACCCCCTACTTTTCCTGTTAAAATATAGGGTTTGAGCTATACTCGCCGTATAAGACTACCCTCTTCCAACGCACACCAAATAAAAATGAAAAAACATCAGATTTGATTTCAATATGGTATGGTATTTCAGTATGGTATTCCAATGATGGGGTGCTATTTCTCCCACTGACACCAATGATGAGGCACTACTCCTCCCACCACTGATACCAATGATGGGACACTATTCCTCCCACTGACACCAATGATGGTGCCCCATCATTAGTGTC